GGTAATAATCTCGCACTAACATTCCACCAAGATACTACCTTTTTTAAACTCGCAAACAACATTGGTTTAGAATTACAGCTACTGTCTTGTATCTTAAAAACTGCAGAGTCATAAGATGTTTTTGGTTGATTTCGACCAGCTCGCCATCTGGTCTTGTCATTAACCTTTATCAGTATATGTCATGACAACCACTGTCAAACTGACTGAAATATAAATCATGATAGTAACATTGGAAATGTGGTCAATAGAGGAATGGTTTGAAGTCGACTGACCTGTGTGGAAAAGAAAACATAAAAATGTAACATGTACATGAAATGATTTAAGTGAAAAGTATGAAATTTATGTACTGAACTAACAATTACAGTTAAAAAAATCAAATATAACCCAAATCAGATATGCAATTATCATACCTGTGACATCACCCTGCTCCGATAAACTGTCTACGTGTTCGATAACATTGGAAATTTGGTCAACAGAGGAATGGTTTGAAGTCGACTGACCTGTGTGGAAAAGAAAACATAAAAATGTAACATGTACATGAAATGATTTAAGTGAAAAGTATGAAATTTATGTACTGAACTAACAATTACAGTTAAAAAAATCAAATATAACCCAAATCAGATATGCAATTATCATACCTGTGACATCGCCTTGCTCCGATAAACTGTCTACGTGTTCGGTAACATTGGAAATGTGGTCAATAGCGGAATGGTTTGAAGTCGAATGACCTGTGTGGGAAAGAAAACACGAGTATGTAATACATACTTTCATTAACATGTGAAACATAAATAATCACTATAGATACATGAGTAAACACATTTGTAGTGAAACAATAAACTTACTGATAACTGCACGTCCCAAGCTATCGAAGGTTACTTGGGCCTTGAATACGTCTGTCATTTTGGCCATGGTATCGGCGTTCACTTTCATGTTATGTGAGTGAATAACATTCATTAATATAAATATATGTGTTGTAGCTCCCATAGTATTTAGGAAATGAATGTCCCTCTTTCTTGAGTTGTGTATTTGTTCTGCTACCTGACTATTTACAATGCCGTGCAACTCCGGAATATTTGAAATACGTCGCAATACTTCCTCTTCCTTGGATGTATTTTGCTGGTGAAATACATCATATAAACACAGATGAACATCATCTCCTAGTACATGATTTCCTTGACTGGACTGCTGCCGACCATATAGCCAAGGTAGGTGTACCTCCAATTTTCCTTCTGTTGCTAGCATAATATTTTCTGATGTGCTTTCTGCAACTCTGCCGTCATAGGGATGAAACATCTGCGGATATCTAATATTTCCATGTCTTGCTACCATATGTGGCATATCAACGATAACAACAGATGGTTGAACCTTGAAAGATCTAATAAGGTCAACGTGATCTCGCGGACTCTCAGCCCGAATAAGAAACTTAACTGCATATACGATACGATGAGGGCAGCTTGCTGAAAGCCATCCACCTTAATAAATACAAACATATATGAATATTTTTCCGCACAAAATTTGGTCAATGATAAATTTTCCATTAACAATAGTTACATTATGCATTCTATTATTCCCTAATTTTGTTTTCGTGGGTCTATATTTAAATTTGAGTATTGCTCGATAGTATATTTAGTAAATTGTGCATAGATTTCAAAGTGTACGTACCAGAAGCACCCCATATCTTTTGGAATACTTTGTTCATTATATTATCATTTTTAATCAGTGCCTGTCGAATACGCAATACCATATCATATTTTGATCCGGTTGCTGCAATATTGCAAGTTGAACATATTTCTTTCACCTTTGCAACCTTTCGAAACAAATATTAATATGAAAGCTTAGCATATGTTTCAATTCATATACTAGTATATTAAATGTCAGTTCAGGTCTATCAGTACAAATCAAATATCATTAGTTTACACACCGTACATACAAAATAATAACAAATATGAATTGGAATTAATCTGGTCTACTTTCTCTACTTTGTGGTTAAATAATAGTAAACATCATTTACCGTGATGCTTGAAGAATTCAGGAGTTCTATTAAACGCTCCTCGGACATATCACGACAGTCTGTTTCAAGTCTTTCAGTTTCTCTTATCACTTTTCTGTGCTCTGTATTCCATACTGTTTCCCCACGGGTAGCTCGTCCAATGTATGGTGCCCATGCTGAATAGGATGATGTCATTTGGAATGGATTTTTTTCGCCATCTGTAACAATATAACCATAATATACATTTACATAATCTTTATGTTTGTGCTAGGAACGAACCAAAATAAAGATATCATAAGAACTGCCAGCAAAACAGTGGGAAAACAAAAAGACACATTAATTAGTATACAAAACAATGTCACATTACAACATTAAAAATACAAACAATCATTTGGGTAATTATATTATAATAAAATATGTATCTTACATCTAATGAGCGGTTTCACTAACTTCTCCATTTCGATCTTTTTCCAGAATGTTTCAACATCAACTTTATCAGAATCTTCACAAACATCCGGTAATTTGAGACTAGACACTTAGAAAAAAATAATGTAGGGTTTATTGTTTATTAAAATCATTTGAATGAAAACTCAACATTGCAGTATTTCATCTCTAACTAAACATATGTTTAGACCTCATATTAGCAATTTACGTTGCATATTTTAAATATATTCACTACACTACATGCTTACCATCCATCCTGAAGCATGCCTTTCTTTGCAAATCAGTAATGATGACGGGCGGGTTACTGCCACAAATTACACAATTGAAAGTATAATCATGGTCCGTCAAGGCCTCAAAATGTTCATACGCTTTGATGACAACATTATGGGGTATCCGTATATTGTTTGTGTCTTCCCAAGCTGACATCACACTACCAATAGCAGTATGATTCTGTGTATGAATATATGTGTTCATGTTATACAAATGGGCCAGAGATATTCGTATTAATCATAATTCTATTGACTTATTTTCTCAAACACGTTCTCAGCATACGTTATCATTTTTTTCACACAGAAAATGATTTAGCAAAACTTACTGCGAGAGATTTTCTTAGAAAAACTAATAATCGCACAGAAAATATCCATTTGTCATCATAATTGTGTAATTGATCACAATGTTCCTGATATCTGTACACCAGGTCACAAAGACTGCACTTTCGACAATAAGTTTCCACGCCTAAAAAATACAAAATGTAATAGTTGTATAACGATCGTCTTATTGGGGTAATGGTTGCCGTTGGCCAAAAAATGTGCAAACAATTAAAAAATAACACAACAATATTAGTCATTACGTATTTTGCATAATTTCATAGGATTGAAAAGTATGTGAATATATATAGTTTTTATATGACAGTATAAATAATAGAGGAAACAGTTACATACCTTTTATTAGTCCATTCATTGCAACTATATTTGCATTCGATGATATAAGCAAGGGTGAATCCAAAAGCGGTTGCGATTTACATACTTTGCACCTCTTTTCCACAGGCATGAGACGAGTATGGTTAAAATTCTCTGACATAGACAAAGAAATATCAGGTGGAATTTTTTTATGCCTCAACCAGTATTCAACCATTCTCTCCGAAATGTCAATAACCGGTGGATATGAATGTAATTGTTTTATAGCGCCAGGAATAATCAGCGTGTTGCCATCATCAATGTCATCAGTTTCATATTGGTCTTCTGAGGCGCCGTGGTGTATTTTACCCGGGAATACTTGGTAGCAATACCAACGAGCAAGAGCTTTGTGACCGCAACCCCTCTTCTTGCAGCATCGACAATGCCATGTGTTTTTATCAGTATCATACGAAACAATAACTCGCCCAAGTATACTGTATTAGTGAGTCTCGCCTGTATGAATGGAAAAACGCAATTGCCGATCTGTACTAGCCGATTCAAATAATGGATACACAGGCACTGACCCATTGGCTATGCTTCGACTGTTCAATGTTAGAGCTGCATCTCTACTGCTATCAGAAAATGGATGATACGTATTACATAATTCATCAAGTTTCACGGGGAGAAGGAATGGTTGTTCTATGAATCGAATTGCTCTGTTAACTGATAATAAATGTTCACATTCGAAACTTGGAAGTCTGCTACGTGTTGCGATTGTTGCAGCTTGTATACATGTGCTACTCTCGCAAAATACTTTTGGATTTGTACAAAGAAGTTCTTTCTCAGCATGAATTGGTAAGGCATTTCTCGGACCAGCTTCCACTGCAAATAAGGAGTTTTCTCGATTCACAGAATATGATTTAAGAACTGGCAAAGACTTAAAACTATTGCCATGTATGTTTTCTTCGTGGCGTTTAAGATTTTTTTTTCAACATACGTTCGCCACATTCAGAACATGATACTCTGTCTACCCCACGTTTGAATAGTGGAATGCGTGTTGATGTACTACATGATAAATGGTTTACTAAAGGCAGATTGAATGAGGGTGATGGAGATTCATCTCTTTCAGAATCATCGCCAGGATCTTCATGATCGATTGGTGGTGGCATTGGCAGTGGTTGCGAATGTTGTTGCTTTTTATCTTCTGTAAAATACAATATAACAACACATAATTATCTTTCTAATTACGGTGTATTATAGCTTTCTATTTTGGTATTGTACTATTCTGAAGAGAACATTAAACGTGAATACGTAAAAACAACATATATGTTACCATTCTCAGTCTTCTTTCTTGATAATAATACGGCCACTTCAATGTTGTCCATGCTGTTGTCGCATGTTTTAAGATGCCGCTCCAATATGTAGGCCTTTGACCAAATAGTCAAACAAAATGGGCAGTGCCAGTGTCGTGGCGTTTTAATAATCGCGCTGTCACATTTACACATAACACTGTGTAATCCTGCAAATAGGTTAACAAAATTGTAGTATAATTATATGTGGTGCTTCTGAGTTGACAATAAGTGGATGTGTAATGAATACCTGTATGATTGCCCGTAATAAACCAATGCGATGGTAGATTAATTCAATACAATTGACCTAATTCGTCATATCCATGACAGACTCAGAATCTAAGTTGACTACGACAACTACGCTGAGAAACTAATGATATTTGACCAAAACCAGTTATACAATTACCTGCAATGATTTGCAATCTTGGCAATTATCTGAATTTATTGACATTGTTTGGTTTTCACGACGAAACGAGAGGGCGGATAACATACCAAAGTATGTATAGAACTAAATTGAATTAGAAATTTGATATAACCAACAGAATCAAACAATGCGGCTTTGTTGCTGAAGCTGTATAAGTAATGAGTAAAATATGGTGAGCAATATTTAATAATGTAATTTGAACTAATATACAGCAAAGGTGTAAATATATACAATGATCTCGAGATTGCGAGAACCAAACATATATTCCATTCTCTCCGTTCTTTGTTTCAAATATCTAGTTTACATAGTAAGAATAAAACACCATCTGATGCGGTGTAACGTGGTCTCTTGCTCACGAAATCTTAGTGTATACTTACCGAGAAAACTCACTCTCGATTTCCAGTGCACTGCACGTATGTGCTTCATGATCATGTATTTTTGCCTTTTGTATCACATAAAGCACAATGATATCGGGAACAATGGCAATTTCCCTCATCACTGCATTTCAAAATTCTATAAGACAAGTCATTCTCTCCGGTTACAATACTCGGGAATTCATTATCTGGGAACGCATCAAGAATCAAGCATTTTATTCTGAAATGTCATTTATTAAGGTGATTGGGAAGGTGACGGTGAAAGTTGAGTAGATACGACTCATTGGCGAGAGTTTGTGAAAGTTTTTAAAATGAGATACTTGATAAGAATACAATTATTGTACTACAGGGAGGGCAGCGCTCTCTAATAGAATGCAATTATTTTGTAGCCGCCGTGATATAATTTCTGCATGGAAAGTACGTAATTTAATAAAGTAGACTAGTAAATATTGTTTGAATTACAAATAGTGCTATAACTGTACTTCAAACGACGTTGTTATAATGAAGCGTGCTGTGGTAGAACAGGGAGCGCAGCGCTCTCTAATAGAATGCAATTATTTCGTAGCCGCCGTGATATAATTTCGTATAATTTCTGCATGGAAAGTACGTAATTTAATAAAGTAGACTAGTAAATATATCTTGAATTACAAATAGTGCTATAACTGTACTTCAAACGACGTTGTTATTATGAAGCGTGCTGTGGTAAAACAGGGAGCGCAGCGCTCTCTAATAGAATGCAATTATTTCGTAGCCGCCGTGATATAATTTCGTATAATTTCTGCATGGAAAGTACGTAATTTAATAAAGTAGACTAGTAAATATTGTTTGAATTACAAATAGTGCTATGAATGTACTTCAAAACACGTTGTTATAATGAAGCGTGCTGTGGTAGAACACAGAGCGCAGCGCTCTCTAATAGAATGAAGTTATTTCGTAGCCGCCGTGATATAATTTCGTATAATTTCTACATGGAAAGTACGTATTTTAATAAAGTAGACTAGTAAATATTGTTTGAATTACAAAAAGTGCTATAACTGTGCTTCAAACACGTTGTTATAATGAAGCGTGCTGTGGTAGAACAGAGAGCGCAGCACTCTCTAATAGAATGCAGTTATTTCGCAGCCGCCGTGATATAATTTCTGCATGGAAAGTACCTAATTTAATAAAGTAGACTAGTAAATATTGTTTGAATTACAAATAGTGCTATAACTGTACTTCAAACGACGTTGTTATAATGAAGCGTGCTGTGGTAGAACAGAGAGCGCAGCGCTCTCTAATAGAATGAAGTTATTTCGTAGCCGCTGTGATATAATTTCGTATAATTTCTGCATGGAAAGTACGTAATTTAATAAAGTAGACTAGTAAATATTGTTTGAATTACAAATAGTGCTATGAATGTACTTCAAAACACGTTGTTATAATGAAGCGTGCTGTGGTAGAACACAGAGCGCAGCGCTCTCTAATAGAATGAAGTTATTTCGTAGCCGCCGTGATATAATTTCGTATAATTTCTACATGGAAAGTACGTATTTTAATAAAGTAGACTAGTAAATATTGTTTGAATTACAAATACTGCTATAACTGTGCTTCAAACACGTTGTTATAATGAAGCGTGCTGTGGTAGAACAGAGAGCGCAGCGCTCTCTAATAGAATGCAGTTATTTCGCAGCCGCCGTGATATAATTTCTGCATGGAAAGTACCTAATTTAATAAAGTAGACTAGTAAATATTGTTTGAATTACAAATAGTGCTATAACTGTACTTCAAACGACGTTGTTATAATGAAGCGTGCTGTGGTAGAACAGGGAGCGCAGCGCTCTCTAATAGAATGAAGTTATTTCGTAGCCGCTGTGATATAATTTCGTATAATTTCTGCATGGAAAGTACGTAATTTAATAAAGTAGACTAGTAAATATTGTTTGAATTACAAATAGTGCTATGAATGTACTTCAAAACACGTTGTTATAATGAAGCGTGCTGTGGTAGAACAGAGAGCGCAGCGCTCTCTAATAGAATGCAGTTATTTCGTAGCCGCCGTGATATAATTTCGTATAATTTCTGCATGGAAAGTACGTAATTTAATAAATTAGTCTAGTAAATATTGTTTGAATTACAAATAGTGCTATAACTGTGCTTCAAACGACGTTGTTATAATGAAGCGTGCTGTGGTAGAACAGGGAGCGCAGCGCTCTCTAATAGAATGAAGTTATTTCGTAGCCGCTGTGATATAATTTCGTATAATTTCTGCATGGAAAGTACGTATTTTAATAAAGTAGACTAGTAAATATTGTTTGAATTACAAATAGTGCTATAAATGTACTTCAAACACGTTATAATGAAGCGTGCTGTGGTAGAACACAGAGCGCAACGCTCTCTAATAGAATGAAGTTATTTTGTAGCCGCCGTGATATAATTTCGTATAATTTCTGCATGGAAAGTACGTATTTTAATAAAGTAGACTAGTAAATATTGTTTGAATTACAAATAGTGCTATAACTGTGCTTCAAACAACGTTGTTATAATGAAGCGTGCTGTGGTAGAACAGAGAGCGCAGCGCTCTCTAATAGAATGCAGTTATTTCGCAGCCGCCGTGATATAATTTCTGCATGGAAAGTACGTAATTTAATAAAGTAGACTAGTAAATATTGTTTGAATTACAAATAGTGCTATAACTGTACTTCAAACGACGTTGTTATAATGAAGCGTGCTGTGGTAGAACAGGGAGCGCAGCGCTCTCTAATAGAATGAAGTTATTTCGTAGCCGCTGTGATATTAATTTGTATAATTTCTACATGGAAAGTACGTATTTTAATAAAGTAGACTAGTAAATATTGTTTGAATTACAAATAGTGCTATAAATGTACTTCAAACACGTTATAATGAAGCGTGCTGTGGTAGAACACAGAGCGCAACGCTCTCTAATAGAATGAAGTTATTTCGTAGCCGCCGTGATATAATTTCTGCATGGAAAGTACGTATTTTAATAAAGTAGACTAGTAAATATTGTTTGAATTACAAATAGTGCTATAACTGTACTTCAAACGACGTTGTTATAATGAAGCGTGCTGTGGTAGAACAGGGAGCGCAGCGCTCTCTAATAGAATGCAATTATTTCGTAGCCGCCGTGATATAATTTCGTATAATTTCTGCATGGAAAGTACGTAATTTAATAAAGTAGACTAGTAAATATTGTTTGAATTACAAATAGTGCTATAAATGTACTTCAAACACGTTGTTATAATGAAGCGTGCTGTGGTAGAACAGGGAGCGCAGCGCTCTCTAATAGAATGAAGTTATTTCGTAGCCGCCGTGATATAATTTCGTATAATTTCTGCATGGAAAGTACGTATTTTAATAAAGTAGACTAGTAAATATTGTTTGAATTACAAATAGTGCTATGACTGTACTTTAAACACGTTGTTATAATGAAGCGTGCTGTGGTAGAACACAGAGCGCAGCGCTCTCTAATAGAATGCAGTTATTTCGTAGCCGCCGTGATATAATTTCGTATAATTTCTTCATGGAAAGTACGTATTTTAATAAAGTAGACTAGTAAATATTGTTTGAATTACAAATAGTGCTATAAATGTACTTCAAACACGTTGTTATAATGAAGCGTGCTGTGGTAGAACAGAGAGCGCAGCGCTCTCTAATAGAATGCAGTTATTTCGTAGCCGCTGTGGTATTATTTAATTTATTTTTTTCCTGGATAGTACATAATTTACCTACAGGCAAATCGCACTCCAGGGAATATGACACGTGATGCCACGTGTAATATTTACAACAAAATCATACGTACTGTATGCTGTTATGCATAATAAACACAGATGGCTGACGTTTTTGTAAGCCAATAATATATTTTAGAACTCACTTTTCACTCTGGCAATGATATCATTCGCCTGTTCTGCCATCATGTCTGCTATCGTCTTTTTCAAATTCAAAATCATGCTGTGGTTGCGCATGTGTAGCCGGGTCCAATAGTGGGCGTCCGCGTTGAGGACGCGCAAATTGAATGACCTAGTTTCCGACCTACTTACGCGCGCGTATCGTCCTCTAATAGAACGCTCTCTAGTGGAACAGCGCGTTCTAGTAGAATGGCTGGAGCAAAACCTTTATCGCTGGATTCGATATCAGGGATAACACAACGGGCGATGTGACATACACACTGGGTTCAAAATCAGGAATCAAACAACATGCGATGTGTCATACACGCTGTGTTTCAAATCAGCGATCACACAACAGACGATGTGGCATACATACTATATTCAAAATCAGAAATCACACAACGGGCGATGTGACATACACGCTGGGTTCGAAATCAGGAATCACACAACTGGCGATGTGACATACACGCTGGGTTCGAAATCAGGGATCACACAACGGGCGATGTGTCATACACGCAGGATTCGAAATCAGGGATCAAACAACGTGCGATGTGTCATACACGCTGTGTTTCAAATCAGCGATCACACAACAGGCGATGTGGCATACATACTATATTCGAAATCAGAAATCACACAACGGGCGATGTGACATACACGCTGGATTCGAAATCAGTGGTCGCACAACTGGTGATGTGACATACACGCTGGGTTGGAAATCAGGGGATCACACACCTGGCGATGTGTCATACACGCTGGGTTCAAAATCAGACATCACACAACCGGCGATGTGACATACACACTGGGTTCGAAATCAGAGATCACACAACTGGCGATGTGGCATACACGCTGTGTTCGAAAACAGGGATCACACAACGGGCGATGTGACATACATGCTGGATTCAAATCAGGGATTACACAACTGGCGATGTGACATACACGCTGGATTCGAAATCAGGGATCACACAACGAGCGATGTGACATACCCTCTGGGTTCGAAATCAGGGATCACACAACGGGCGATGTGACACACATGCTGAATTCGATATCAGGGATCACACAACTGGCGATGTGACATACATGCTGGATTCAAATAGAGTTGGCTCCGGCCATTCTATTAGAACGCGCTGTTCCACTACAGCGCGTTCTATTACAGAGCGATGCGCCCTCTACTGTGACTTCGATCTAACCCCGAGCGACTTACTCAACCGACGCTCGCCAGGATTCTGACGCTCGGTACG